GAAAAATGCTGGCGGCGCCTTGCAAAAAGGAGTCGGGAGCAGTTGCTGGTAAGCACGAAAAACCGTGCGCGCCCAAAAGGCGCGAAGCAACGGAAACCCTGCCTCCGCTTGCCAGCTGGGCTCTGCTCTAGGAAGGAGGCACTGGCAAACCACTTCCGAAAATTGCCTTGGAAACTGCAAGGACTCGTCCAAGCAGTCACTGCAGTCGGTAACGACTGAGCGCAGATAAAAAAAAAAAAAAAATTTGGTGGGCCAGAATAAATAACCTTTTAGAAATTAGAGCATGTAAAACAACATGCCCAGGCCTATTGTTGGGACATGCAGCCTTCACACGTGTGAGCAGGTTTCCTAGAATGTGTTCAGCCAGATGCAAACAAACTGCATTATAATTTAGTGCAATATGTGAATCTAACTATGCATATATGTACATTTCCGTGAAGATTAATATACATGGTTTTGCCCCATCTACAGACCTATACTGTATATACAGAACTGCTATATTGCCCTTGTTGGTGCAATAATCATTCCAAAACCCATTTCCACAAGAGAAGGGATGAACTTTCAAGCTTATTCTGTTCACTGCCACGCAGCAGCACAGTAATTCTAAGCCATCCTCATCACAAATGAAACAATAATTGTGGCCAGTCAAGGCTGACCAAGTAAGATGGGTAAAGAATTAATAAGAATATGTCAAGAGTCTGGTGGGCACATGTGTGTCTGGACACAAGATTGCCAACTTCTAGATTAGATGGAATGATAATACTTTACCCACTAACTCAGTTTCATAGCAGAGCATGGATTAGTGTTATTAAAATTTAACACTGCCCCTTAACTGTATTGCATATGTAGACATTTATAACATACTGTGAGGTTCAGCATTTTCAGTGAGTTTGTTGTAATGAGAAAATCAAAAGGTGTAACTATCATTGGATTGTATTTCTTGCATCTTGATCAGCAAAACACAATTTTAACCTGTTAGAAATCTGCCTCAATTCACTATTGTAGGACATTGGCTATTCTGGTAAGAGAGATGCTTTATTAATTTTTGAAGTTCTGAAATATTTAATACTGGAACTTTTTTTGTGGCATTTGATAAGATTTTATATTTGTAAGATTTTACAAGTTAATCTTAAAGATGCACAAAATGTTTTGAATTGGACTAATTTTGAATTCGTGTTTGAAGCAGACTGTTATTCTGACCATTTTGGAAGTGTTTTGAACTTGAAAACCTTTATTTCAAATTTCTATTTTGAGCTTGACATGGAATGTTTTGAATATGGAGTGGTTTATATTTGAAATGTTTTCCAAGCCTCTAATCTTAATACTAAATGTCTGAAAAGAATGGAAAATGGTTTTTTTAAATAACAGCTATCAATAAAGCCTTCCTTGGTGGTGATGGAGGGTTTTACAACTTTGAAAATTAATGCTAAACAACTTGTCATTGCTTTTTCCAATTACCTGATTTTACAATGAGGATATGTAGAGCAATGCTATTTCTTTCTGCAAGGTTCAGCTCTTATAATGAAGACTATAATCCAGAACAAACCATGCTAGCAGTGACATTGCAGAAAACTTCTAATGAAAAATAGTAAGCTATTGAGAATTTAAGTATAATCAACACCCTCTAGAAAGAAGTCTGATATTCAGAGCCAGCTATGTATTCCAGCCATTTCATGGCTACAGAAAGGGTATATCTGTTACCCATTTTGAACATTGATGTATCCATTCCTGTTTGTTCTTTGATGTGTTGCTTTAAGATTAAATCATTTGGTAATTCTCTTAATTATTTGAGATTATAATTTTGGGAAATTATTTCTGAAATCCTTTTGGATTGACTATAGTACAATTCACTTTTATAATGATGTAGAGTTGATGAAAGCTTCAGCATATAATTATTTCCTTTTAATTTTTTTTTCTTGAGAAGAAAATTATAGTATGTAATATGGACCTGTGTAATGCTTTCCATTTTTAAAAAATTCTGATGCTATTAAAAATCAAAAGAGTTTAGAATTATAGTTAATGCAATCACTACAGAATCATAGTTGATGGGTAAAAAGGCTTCCTTCTTATTTTTAGCGGCTTCTTAGTTTTATTCTTAAGTTGAAAACAAAATCATTCATAGAAGACAAGATATTTGTAATTACTCTCCTCTTCTAAGCAGAATAAATTGAGTATTTGCATATGTGTTTTCCAAATACTGATATAGAAGAAAAATAGATAATGCAAAGTACAATTTAGAAGAAAGGTGACTTCATTAAAATTTGTCTTTTCAGTAATTACCTGTATTTAATGTGTTTTCTAGATTCCAGAATTTGACAACTTATATCTGGACATGAATGGCATTATTCATCAATGTTCACATCCTAATGATGATGATGTTCACTTCCGAATCTCTGAAGATAAGATCTTTGCTGATGTATTTCACTATCTGGAAGTTTTGTTTCGCATTATTAAACCAAGAAAAGTTTTTTTTATGGCAGTTGATGGAGTAGCTCCAAGAGCAAAAATGAACCAGCAACGTGGCAGACGTTTTAGGTATGTACCTAAAATGGGCTTTTGATTTTTTGTTTTATTTTCACTTCTTTCCTCCTGCAGACCTGAATGTATATATGCTGGTTTTCTCGTATCTCCTCCATAGAAGAGAATATAGCATTGCTCATTCAGTGCTATCTTCTTTTTGTTCTGAAAAAGCTGTGGACTTCTAGAAATGTTTGCTGCTCTTGATAGCAAAGCTGGCTTCCCTGGCCATTGGTTCCAAAGAGAAGCCTAAGGGGGAATGTGAGGTGTTGGCTTCAACCTAGTCATTATTTTTCTGAGGGGAAGCCATGTGGGGAGAGAAAGTACAGTCCTTGCTTACCGACCATTTGTTCAGTGACTGTTCAAAGTTATGGCAGTGCTGAAAAAGGAGACTTATCACTGGTTCTTGAAATTGCAGCCGTCGCAGTGTCCCCACGGTCATGGGATCATGATTCAGATGCTTGGCAGCTGCTGCACATTTACAATAGTTGCAGCATCCCACAGTCACATGATTGCCATTTGCAACCTTCACAGCCAGCTTCTGATGAGCCAATGGGGAAGCCAGTGGGGAAGCTGACAGGAAATTGCAAATCGTGGTCACGTGACATTGCACTTAACGACCCCCAGTGATTTGCTTAATGACTGCAGCCAGAACTGAGGTCATAAGTCAGTGTGGTCATGTGACATTTCACTTCATGACCATGTCGCTTAGCGACAGAGTTGCTGGTCCCAATTGCAGTCAGTAGGTAAGAACTATCTGTATAGTGTTCAGTGCCTCCTTACAATGTGCACTCTTAGGCTCTTCATCCTCAGAGAGTATTTTCATCCAGTCATGTTTCACTGTTGTGTCGGAGTATGCACCTTCTTGGCATTTCAGGGCCTACATTCCAAACTGTAGATGAGGCCATAACAAAATGGAAATCTGATACAATTTAATTTATATTGATGTTTGACTAAAACCAGTTTCAATTATTAAATATAGTTAGTGTATAATTATGCCCCAATATATGTTAATTTCTCTGTTATATTAGAAATGATAGTTTCAGACTTACGGGGCTGCATGAGCTCAAAATGGTTATGCCTCTGTAAGTTGTGGTGTGCCTCTCTTAATGTAATATAGGAAAGAGGACAGATTGTATATTGGTCCTGTGTCAGTAAGGTTCTTTATCAGACCGCTGCCAAGCAATCCCCAGGCCTGCTCCCAATTCAGTGGGAGATGTTGGACTTGTTTCACAACTTCTTGGATGATTCTATCTGTCTGTAGGTTCAGGTTGTAGATGTTCATAACATAATAATCAGTAGGAGTTGCTTAAGAATAAATTGCAGCTAAGAACAAAATCTCTGAACCATTTTCTGTGGACGCAGAAACTAGGACCAGAAATGACAGGTATAAGTTGCAGCTACCTAGATTTCATTTAAACATAAGGAAAGATTTCCTGATGATAAGATTTCCCTGTAGAGGTTGTGGGTTCTTCATTGCAGTAGCTTGTAAAGACAGCCTCCTCTCGTGAATATTTTAAATGGTTTTCCTACACGTTGCAGAGGGTTGGACTAGATGATCTTTGTGGTACCTTCCAACTTTACAGATCAGTAAAGATTAGCACAACTCAGGCTTACTGCGTTCTATAGAAGATTAAAGAAAATCTTGTGACCTTTAGATTATGTTCCATTCTATGCAACTTTATAGCTATATAATAATTAAATAATAATTAATAATAATTAAATAATATAAGACTTTTATTAAATTTATTTTGCTAAAGAAACTGTACATTTTGTGTGAGCAAGTGTTGGCATGGGTATTCTGCCATCAAAGTCTATCTCTAGTATAAAGATAGTTTTACCATAATCTTTACAGAATTCTTGTGAGATTGAGTAATACATATGTAGCAATCAGAATATTTCAGCACTAAACTACAAAGTGTTGTTATAGGTCAGCAAGGGAAGCAGAAGACAAAATTAAGAAGGCATTAGAAAAAGGAGAAATTCTTCCCACTGAAACCAGATTTGATTCCAATTGTATTACACCAGGTAGGGAATTCTGTTGTTATTTTGTTACAATATTGAACTTCTTCATTCTTTCTTTCTTATCTTCATGAGAATCTTATGATTTCTTGAAATAAAAGGATGTGATTTTCAAATATATCAGAGGGAACAGAAATCAAACTAAGCAGTATAGAACCTCTGCCATAGAATGCCTTCTCTCCTACCCCACCCCCACCCCATAGAAAAGACATAGCATGAATTGCAAGCTATATTTTACTGTTGTTCATTAGTATTTACTGTTTTTTCTTTTCAATTAAGTACATCTTATGGCAAAACTAATTAATGAGCAAATTCCCAATTTTACACATGCATGGATTCTATGTGTTTCTGAATAATCTTGTCCCATAAAAATGATTGTCAGCTTTTTCAAAAAGGAAGTTGAATTCCATCATCCAGTTCATTTCTATTATTTGTATCAGAGTCAATGGGGCAAAAGGCTTTGTTTCTATACTTCACCATTATTGTCTGTCAGAGTAAACTATTTTTCTGGATTAATAAGATTTCTAATGGAGGAGATTCAGTCTCAAGGTTTCCCTGGGAAATGTGAGGTGGTATTTCCTGAAAATAGTTAAAATAAAGTAATAGGGATTCTTTTTTTTTTACATATTATGGTGCAGAACTTCAAAATTTATATTTGCGTTATAATTGTGTGCATCTTTAATACAATTTCAAATATTTGTGCTTTTAAAAATTGTGAAATCTTATTTTTTTAAAGTAATATTATTTGTATATTTCCCATGGTATTTGAAAAAATATTTTTGAGATTTCAGTGAATGAAAGTGTAACTTTTAGATTTCTGTTATTAGGAACTGAATTCATGGCCAGGTTGCACGAACATCTGAAGTATTTTGTAAATATGAAGATTTCCACAGACAAATCCTGGCAAGGCATAACTGTCTACTTATCAGGCCATGAGGTTACTTTTTACTTTAATAAACTTCTTAAATTAATTGTTACTAATTCAGAATTTATTAATTTGGTTTTTCTTTTCATTCAGACCCCAGGAGAAGGAGAACATAAAATTATGGAATTTATTAGATCAGAAAAAGCGAAGTCTGACCATGATCCAAACACAAGGCACTGTCTCTATGGTTTAGATGCTGACTTGGTATGTTTAAACATGATTTATTTGAAAATAAATGAGATTCTTGATTGTAAATACCAATAGTGGTGGTATAAAGAGTCTCCTCAGACTCCAAGGGGTGTTTTTGTTTGTACACTAAGGATTCTTACTGCTTTGCCTTAAATTTTGTAGGGTTGTGCACATTATGAAAGCGGTTTGTTTAGTAGTGTGGCATCCATTGTGGAAAGGGGGAACGTCATTCTCATATGGATCTCAATGAGATCCTTTGATATCAAGGCATAATAAGATGATATAAGAACTCATTCATTGTTGATCAATTTTTTTAACGATTGGTTCAGTTATTTTTAAATTACTTCTTTTAATAGATAATGCTTGGGCTGACAAGTCATGAGCCACATTTCTCCCTTTTAAGAGAAGAGGTCCGGTTTGGTGGCAAAAAATCACAAAGGTAATCTGCTGCAAAAGATATTAAATGACAACAAAGGAAGTTAAGCAACACTGCTAAATAACTGAGAATGTTTTCTTTATTCAGTATTAAATATTCACGTATTTAATCTATGAAATTTAACATTTTAATTAGCTTACTGAGCTGTATTAATGCTTTACAGAGCAAGCGCCCCAGAAGAAACCACTTTTCATCTTTTGCACTTGTCATTAATGAGAGAATATATAGACTATGAATTTTCACCAGTTAAAGTAAGTATGAGTGGACTTGTTAAAGGTTGTTGAAAGTTGCTAAAGGTTTATGCATTCAACTGATAATTATTTGTATCAACGTTTATTTATCAGGGCAAGATTTCATTTCCGTATGAAATTGAAAGAATAATAGATGACTGGATTTTAATGGGCTTTCTTGTTGGAAATGATTTTATTCCTCATCTACCTCATTTTCACATTAACCATGATGCATTGCCGCTGCTTTATAGAACATACATGGCTGTATTGCCTGAACTTGGAGGTAAGCTATCTCACATAGTTACTGAAAGATGGTCTTGTAGTAGACCCTGCTACAGAATAATAGGTATAATGGAAAAGAGAATAATTATTTTAATCTTGATGTCATATACTGTACTCCTACTGGAAAATAGAAGTTTTTTCTTCCATTATGTGGATTGGGTCCTGTAGAAAGTAAGGAAGATGATCTTGATGGAGATATATGCAAACTCTGTTGCCAAGGCAACAAGGGGTAGAAAATTGTCGAAGTTCAGAACATCCAGATAACACTGGAAAGCGGCTCAGACACTTCTGTAATTCACCGAACTCTAAGAAGAAGGAGGAACGCAATCAAACTTCCATGATTCTGTCATTATAGCCAGTCTCAATAAAAGTAGTTTTAGCCTTTCTGTGGAGTTGATTTCTTGACCTGGTCTACGTAGTAGATCCAGATTTGCATTCACTGGTGTTCTGCTGGCACTGGATGAGAAAGAGTGATGTTTTTGCCCCTTTTAGCACTACCTCCCATGCTTTTCCAAGTAATTTCATCCAAATAGCAGTGGGGGTTGCAAGGAAAAAATGGAATCTGTGATTATTAGTGCCTTACCCCCATTTTTCAATGGGAAGTCACCACAGTTCCTTCTGTTCACAGAAGGAATAAATATAGATCCTTTTTTTTGGTATCAGGTGCAGGAAACACAGCTCATGATCGTAAACATAAATCATACTTCTGTTTCTTTCTTAGGTTATATAAACGAAAGTGGGCACCTCAACTTGCCACGCTTTGAGAAATATCTTATAAAACTGTCAGAAGTAAGTATGTATTCTTTGTACTGCATAAAATTAAAGTAATAGCATTAGAGTCCTTTATGGATTTTCACCTGCTTTCATTTTTATATAATAAAAACTGATTTTTAGCTATCATGAAAGTAGGGAACAGGCGTGGTATAGGGGAAATGAAAGTTTGGGAATTGTCCTGATAATAGGAACAGTAGAGCAGCATGTGTGTGGTGGTTTCCATGGCTCCTGTACAGCAGGGACAAGTTCTTTGCCATATGGGGACTTAGCACATCTTCCACTGAGCACCTCAACCCTAGTTCTGAAAAAATCTTTTTGTTGAGTATTTTTGTAGATATCTTGCTATCTAGGGCACATTATACAGTTTCCAATGTGCTCTCAAAAGTGGTTGAACTCATTCTGATATTCCACATCCAGGATCCTCTCTTTAACTATTCTTTTAGCTTGAGTGTAATCCAGAAAGAGAGGAGTTCAAATTGCATCCTATATTGGGTGAGTTTCTCCAATATTATTTGTTGCCAAGAAGATTGGAAGTGATCTGCAAGTACTAAGGGAATCAGTCCTGATGGAAAATAGTGGTATTTAAGCCAGTAGGAGAAAATCAGTAGCCAAGCCCTTACCTCAACTTTTGGTTGCCCGGCTTCCACCTTGAGGGTCACGTTAGCTGTACATCTGGGTGCTTGAAACTGTTTTCAAGAACTTAATTTATTAAATCTCTAGTGGCCTGTAATGTGGAAATGGCCCCAGCTGAACACCATAGAGTATTTGAGCCATGGATTTTGCAACAAAAAGTTTCAGAGCTGCTGGTATTCAGTCCATATTCTTTGTCCATGTGAATTTCATAATGGCTGCTGTAATTCTTTGTGCTTGCAAAGTGACATAATCAATATGGATTTTCCAGGCATCAGTATTCTGGATCACTACCCCCAAATATTTAAGTTCCTCACCTGTTTGATTTCCTTTTTTTTTTTTTTTGAAGAACATTTAACTCTTAGGTTTTCTAGCACTTTGATTTTCTAATTTGATAAGCGGGGATTATGATATCCCTTATTTTATTATCTGTAAACCTTGGGCCAGTCACACACTCTCAGCCCAACTCACCTTACAGAGTTGTTGTAGGAAAAATAGGAGAAGGAAGGAGTATTAGGTATGTTCGCCGCCTTGAGTTATTTATAAAAATAATAAAGCTGGGATAAAAAATTTTAAAAAAACACCTAGAGCCCATGAAGATTGAGGTAGTAGATAAATTGCACAATAAATAAATAAAAATTTGATCATAATTGGCTCTTAGAGAAACTGGATAGGACTGAAATATTAGCCTCTTGATAACAGTATCTAGAAAGTTTGAAATATAATCATCACCTTGTATGAGGCATCTGTTTGCAAGATTTTTCTCCTATGTTAATTACTTACCTAATATACTATGTTCAGCTCAAAGGAAAGCCTGATTTAATGTTTTTCTATCCACACTGCTGGAAGGAAGATTCCATATACTCTGCAGAACAGCAACTGTCCATTGGGAGAAATAGAATATGCCTGCATGGTATGCTAATAATACCTCTGTTAAGGTACAGCCATGTTAGTTTAGAGGAAAATGCTCTCCTTTGAGCTGACAGGTCGTTTGAGATTTCCAGAAAAGTTGCCAAATTTCATTTGATTAACTTTTAATACTTAATAGTATAGCTATTCTGTTTACCTCATTTACTGGTTTATGTATTTTTTTACTATATTCCTTTTGTGTATAGTATTTGGTTAACTATATACATGGTCCGTTCTTCCTGTTTTTAGACTTTGACTGTTAATCAAGTTTTAAAAATAGAGTTAAGAAAATTGAGTAAAAATAGGCTTTCAAGTCAAAATATGTCTTCTTTGATGCCTGCCTTGGAAAGTTAAAAGCCTGCCTGACATTGATTCAATTGATTTTTCTACTTCTTATTTAGTAGTTATATTGTGTATCTACAGAATTCTAGACCTTCTGTTTTTGTATACTGTGATGACTGATGACTTGTTTTTCCTTCCCTTTATGTTAACAGTTTGATCGTGAACACTTCAGTGAAATCTTTGTAGATCTAAAATGGTTTGAAAGCAAAGTTGGTAATAAATACTTAAATGAAGCAGCTGGTATTGCAGCTGAAGAGTCAAAAAAACAAAAAAAAACAAAGGTTGGTATTTTTAGATAATTAATCGATAGAAAGAAATCACTTTTTTTTTTTAAATCAGAAATTAATGTTTAATGCTTATTGTAAATAAAGATGCTTACTATATTTATGCCTAAATGTACACATGTGGCCCATATAACAGCAGGAGAAGAGCCCTGAACAAATCTGCTGGAAATACACCCTTAGGGATTCAGGAAGAGATTATACATCATGACCAAAGGACGGAACTAACCAATGAAGCATATTTCTATTCAATCCTATATGATGTTCAGTGGTGAGAAATGTGAGGTTCTTTACTTAGGCAGGAAAAACCAGAAGTACAGGTAGAAAACAAGTGGTATCTGGCATAGAGAAGCATCTGGGAATCTTGGCAGATCGTAGATTAAACACGAGCCAGCAATATGCTGCAGCTGCCAAAAGAGCCAGTGCAGTTTTGGACTGTATCAACAGGTATAGTCTCAAGATCAGAGGAAGCAATGGTAGTACCACTCCAAGTCAGATCACCCCTGGAATACTGTTTCCAGTTCTGGTCTCACCAATGCAAAAAGGATGCTGAGGGATTGGAAAGGGTGCAGAAGAACAACGTGGATGGTAAGAGGCTTGGAGGCTCAATCCTACAAAGAATGGTTAAGGAACTTGTTATATTTGGCCTAAAGAAGAGAGTGCTAAGAGGAGACATGATAGCAGCTTCAGTACATGAAGGGATGTTGCAGGTATGGATTTATTCTCCATAGCACCTGAGGGCAAGATAAAAAACAAGGCATGGAAGCTTAAGAGATTCAGACTTGAAATAAGGAGGAATTTCCTGATGAACAACCTGCCTTCTGAAGTTGTAGGTGCTCCATCACTGGAGGTTTTCAAGAAAAGATTGGACAGCCATTTGTCCAGGATGATATGAATATTCCTGCACTGAGTAGGGGGTTGAATTAAATGACTTCCAACTCTATGGTTCTATCATTCATTTACATTCTATAGAAAATGATATTTCCTAAACTCTGTAAAGTTTATGAATCAGGCTTGTCAAGTTGAATTCTGGTGCACTGTGTGCTTTTAGATAACAATTCTAGCAAAGTGACAGAGTGGTTTCTATCAATAGAGCAAGCAGTTTCATTCCACCTATGCTTCAGCATCTATTCCTGAGGAGGACACAAGTATATTTTAAGGGGAACTAGGAGCTGCCAGGAGGAAAGTTATGTCGCAAAAGTTGAAGTTCACCTGTGTGATATTCGATTTTGTCTTTTTTCTTAAACGTAACTAGAGAACTCTTGAATTTCACTGGTATATATTAGTGGGGTCTCTGTTGTATTTTTATATTGTTTATTCTAGTTGTTTTAGTCTGGGCTGCCTGTTTATGTGGGTTTAAACTTTTAATAATTTTTACTGAATTTTTTTTAGATTTTATAAACTGCTCAGAGCCTTACGAATGTAATAAATTTAATTGATTAAATTATTTGTTCCCAAGTAGGTTTGCTTGGGCTGTATTGAGTTTTCTGAATGCTTGTTGAAATAAAGCTGCAAACGAACAGATCTGTGGCTTTGATTTGTTTTTGTTTTCTTCACTATTCTTGAAGAATCACTCATTCTTGATTTGGGGCTAAATTCAATATTATAGGAGGAGAATCACTTTTTTCTTCTTCTGTTTTTCTTCATGAACTCCAAATTGGCTCTGGAGGTAACCCCAACCATCAGAAGCAATTTGTGAGATGCCCAAGGATGGAATGAAAGCGCCATTCTTTAGACTTTTCCTTTCTGTAGTTTTGTGGTATTATACTACTATGTTATTTCAAAAGTATGAATTATAATGTCAACAGGCTCAGGAAAATGCTATATGCTTGGATGCTTTAGAGAAAACTGACAATGGAAATGTAGAAGCTTCAAAAAGTAAGTTCAGGAATACTATTCAATGTTGTTCATATTTTGATCTGTATCCTATCTAGAATAGGGTAGAATTAAAAGCTATTTGAATGTATTGCTTAACATAAACTTTTATACTTTCCTATTCCTTGTATTTCTGCAAAAGCCTGATATAGAAGATTACTCTGACATGGCAAACACAGCTATACAGTTTATACTAACTTCTAATATAGAAGTTAAAATAAAATCCCTATATTTGTCAATGTTTTGCTATCTATTAGGTATTTTATATGTGGATATAAATATAAATATAATTTATATTAGCAACCTTCTACCAATGAATAGAAGTTTCATTGTATTAGGCCTCCTACAATCATTTCACAAAATCACGTTAGGATTTAGTATACTTCAGGAATACTAAAATTATGTAAACTCTTTTCAGTGCTTTCATTTTGTCCTTAATATCTAAATAGTGTATCACATACATTTTACTTTATTGATATTTTTTCCAATCAAATATTTGATTTTTTTTTTTTTTTTATCTGCGCTCAGTCGTTACCGACTCTGCAGTGACTGCTTGGACGAGTCCTTGCGG